CCGAATGGATTCTTATCCCATGCAAAGTAAAGTTGCATAAAGGTAAAGCTGTTCTGTAGATTAGATCTAGGAATTGAATTTTGAGTGAAACTTAATCTTATTTGCATTATTGAATTGGACTCAATGGAGAGTCTGGGTTTTTTAATCTAGAGGTGGGTTTTTCCAGCGAAAAACTTCTCTTGATGAAAGTCATTTATTACTTGTCACATATCTCACTTTTATGTACATGCTACATGTATCCTTTAACGCAAATAGATATGTTTTTTCAACTAAGTTTATTAGAGTTTAAATGTGCATTGAACTGAACCTTAGTTAACTAGGACTACATTAGTAAACCAGGCATAATTGTTTATTCCTACATTTGGTAAACTAACAAATATGATCTTAGTTAACTGGTGATGATTACTAGTTAGTCAAGCATATATTGAATTTAAACTACAGGATATTCGTCTGGTACCAATTTGGCATTGTTAATTTGGAAGGTTGGGGGCCATAGTCGACGTTGATTCATCAAAAGATAGACCGACCATGCAAGAAACATTTCTTCTTCTAGGTCCTCTCACTTCCTTAGGATAAAGGATAGTTAGATTTCAATTGTATTTTTTTTTAATTTTCGAATTTTATGGATACAATGAACGTGAATTCAATGAACTAAAGAAACAATGAAACTAAAGAAACAACAAAACTAAAGACAAGAATCTAAATTACATAAAGTAACTAACAATTAAAAGTAAATTAACTCGAAAATATATTGAATCGAAATAGCATTAAATTATGACATATTTGAAACAATAATAAAGGATAATAAGAACAATAAAGTGTATTAAGTTTATTTAATTTTTTTTTTTTGAAGAGTACGATATTTCTTTGATAAAAGGGTATTACAAATACATATCATGGAAAACTCAGCCCCAAAAGGATCCTTAAAAAGGATCCTTTTGGGGTTGATTGACTTTAATTCTTGCCCATTGAAATTTCTTGATGTGATGATCTTTTTTGAAATTCTCTCAAAAGTTCGTGGACCTTTTCTTTGGTGGACATGGACCTTGATTTCCTCGGATTGAACATCAATTACTTTCTTTTTTTCCCACACGTTGATCTTCTCCAATCCTTTCATTTTCACATGTGAGTTTTTTTTTTCTTGACCACCATACCACTCTTCATTTGTGATATCCTGTCCCGAATTTAATATTATTTTATTCTCTAATCTTAGAAAATTATGAAAATACCCTTGACGAACTAAATTGTGGACGTTTAAGTCCTTATCACTTTTATCACCTTGCATATATTTCTAGGTCATACGTGTCCTTATGAACACATGAGCACAAACGAGGCGTAAATCGGACGATTTATGCACATTTCTCAATGAGGGGCAAAATGTTAATTTTGCACCCTCCGGAATTTATTGCTTGTTTATCGGGACAACAATGAGTTGTCAGTATTGCGGGCTACAGACCGTTGTACTCAATGATACGAACGCGTGGGTGCAAGTAGAATCGAATTCAAAGTTATAAAGAAGATTTTATGAAGCATGGAACATTGAGGGCAATTTGGTAATTTCACGTTGCGCGGGAGATATTTTTGGTCTTTATGTGGTTTTGTTTTGTGAGTCAATGGGGCCTATGCCCCACTCTTCTCCCTCACGAGAGATTTTTCAATGTGACAGGTATACGGAGTGGTACACCATGTGTTACTATGCAAATGGTGGGATATGTGTGCTAAAAAATTAGTAACTTAAAAAAATAAAATTTCCCACCACTCCTATTAAAACACGTGGTGTACCACTTGTGTTCCCGTCACAACTAAAAATTTCTACTCACTCACCTCCGTGTCTCCCTCACTTTTTCCCTATTTTCTTGAACACTCTCCTCTCTCTCTTAATCTCTCTTATTCCATTCACTATATATCTCTTCTTTGTAAACCCAGCCGAGCCTTCATCTCGCTTTCTCTCTCAGCTTTATGCTCACTGCACAGAAAATGAAGCAACACTGGTCCATCATCACCATTGCCATTCCTGCGAGTTCTCAGGACACCGCACCGCCATGTCTCTCTCTCCTTCATCTGTTATCTCTCTTCCCACGATATGTGCGCACTATGAAGAAACAAAACAAGAACGTCACTGCTGGTGCCTTCTTTCTCAACTAGTTCTCAAGTTTCCGGCCAAGGTATTTTGCAGGGGTGTGCATAATCGCTTCCTTTTGTTCAAGAAATGTTTATGACCTTGTATACGCGTTTTGGCAACATTGGGTGCAAATTCGAAGGTTTGGAGATCCACCATTTTCTAGCGAGGAACCGACATGCTTTCAGACCATTTTAAAGCCGCCATTCGGCCTCATTTTGATGTGATTTTGGTATGACCTCGTTCCTTATTCTTCTAGTTTAATTTTGACTAGTAGACCTCATTGGCGGATCCATATAGAGACCTGGGGGTCTCGGGACCCTTCGGAAGCCCCAAGAAATACTTGTGATCGACCTTCGGGACCCTCCAACAATTTGGTCAAGTGCAGTGGAAAGGATTGTTGCCTCCATGGATGTGCATGTAGCAATGCTTATAACAAAGAAGAAGAAGAGGTTTTTAAGTTTTGTTTAATGTTTTTTAGCCAGGTCATTATAAAAAAATTTAAAAATTAAAATATCTATGTTTTTTCTACAGAGCCCAAGAACCCCGGTCTTTTCCAATATCCCTAAATTATATTTAAGAACCCTCAGCCCTAATCATCGCAACCTTCCAACTTTAAACCCAAGTTACCTTATTCCCCACCACCATTTGCCATTCCACCGCCTTTAGCTGCCTAATTTTATTTCTTCCAAACCCAATTAATAAGATATATGTTACATTAACAAATTTTATCTTTGTAGAGTCACTAATTGTGTTATGTTGCTAAGGAGAATTGGTTGGTTTTATTGCCTTTGGGATTAATCTTGATTTATTGAATGAGCTAAATTCAATAGAAAATAGTGATATGAAATTCAATAGAAAATAGTGATATGGAACCAAATTAGTCTAATATATTTTTTTTTGAGCTTTTATGTTGGGACCCCTTGATCTTGAAATCTTGGATCCGCCACTGAGACCGTTGATTTTGGTTGACTATTGAGGCTGAACGAAGCCTCTGTGATTCCAGCCTTCTTCTTCTTCGATCCGGCCACTCCAATCCAAACCGGGTTGACCCGACTCGATAACCCAAAATCGAATCCAAACCTGGATCTGACCCAATGCAAATTCGGATCCGAATTGGATCCAAACCGACCAACCAGGACCCAATTAGGAATTTGGCAGGAATATTCTAAGGAATATTTTGTTAATTGTTGACCGTTGGTTGATCAGCGTTGACTTTTTTTTTTTTATGAAATTCTCCCGAGATCCCTCATAGGGTATTTCGACGCGCTGATTCCATTTCCGAGCTTTGTTTTTCCAAATTGAAATGTTTTAATTGAGTTTTTATTAATGAGTCCCTATATTATGATTAGGTGCAGTTATTATTGGAGACTCCGTCATTCTTAGTTCGTACAGCTATGAATCTACAACGCACTGTGAGTGGGTCTTTACTTTTAAATATTATATATTTATTTAGTTTCCATATATATATATATATATATTTAATTAAATTTTCTACGTGATGCCAAATTAAATTAATGTTTATAAGAAATGTCGTAATAATGAGAATTATAAAATTTTCATAAATTCTAAGGGATGCACAAGTATGTGTATTATTTTGGGATGCCTTGATTATATTACGGCAGCGAATAGTATTATATTGACTAGAATTATCGAATTATCATGGCATGATCATACTTATGTTATTGCTCATCGTGCATGCTACACTGGTATTAGTACTCGCCTGGGCCAAGGCCAATCTTCATGTGCATGTTCACATCGCACCGATACATTCACTTTGGATCCATTGTAGGTGCCAGTCATGTCCTAAATTGCTATAGGCAATTAGGACTCATATGTGACGCGCATAGCGCCAGTCTTCACATGATTGTAATAATAGAGCGTAATTCATTATTACACCCAATCCTGTTCATGTCAGAATATCTTTGCATGAGCTCATGTGTTAGCATATGTCGATAAGGACCTAATATTATATGTTCGTTATGTGAGATATTATATTATATGTTTTATATGCGAGATATGGTGAATTATTGCATTCTTGAGATATTACTATTTACGGTAAGTATTTTCATACTATACATAGTATGTTATATATTTGGAAACCATACTTATTTTATAGCAAGGGGTTATACGTTTTTGAAAAGGTTTTTACAACACTTTATTTTCAGGACCACTCACCCTTGTTTTTTGCCCCTCCAAGGATTAACAGCGATGCTCGTGTTGATGAGGATTTCTGGCAACAGTTGATAGAGGAGATTACTTTCGATACTATAATTCTTATTCTAATTTTATTGTACTTTACTTATGCTCTGACATCACGTGTGAAATCGGTTCAACCCAGCTCACATGCACTCTTGCATTTAGCCACTTTTAGGCTTAAATTCATTCATATTTTTGCATCATTATACTTTATGGCTTTATCACCTTTCTGGTGTCGGCTCAATTCGGAGTCCAGGTGAACATTCCGGATCAGGATGTTTCATCATTTGTGGACCACAAACCTTGATTTCTCTAGATTGGTTTTGGACTTTGGATTGGATATTTGAATTTAAAGTTCATAGAGAAAGCTTGAACCATCTTTGTCCAAATTATAGGTCGCTTGATCCCGGCCATTTAGAATTTATTCTTGTTTCAAACTTGCCCCATGTCATGTCCTCTCACCATCAATAGAATAAACATGACATTGTGCTTTGAGAATACAGCGGATAATCCTAGATCGTATTAGGCAACTTTCTACTTTAAATGTAAAACACAAGCAACCGAAAAACTAGTAACATTTACAGTAGAAAGTTGCCTAATGTGCATGTGACTGTCAGTAATGATAAGAATTATAGCATCTAACTCAAAACTGGGACCGAAAATTGGGCGGAGAGGCTCGAGATATTTTAAACTATTACGCACGGCTTCCCTTTTTCTAATGTGGGATAAGCTCTCAACAGTTACATACTTCTGTTGAGGTTTCTACTTGAGAACACGTGGAGTATTATTTTGATCTTTATTCACATCTCAACAGCAAAAAGAGAGGGGGAAAGGGAGCTTATTTATTTACAGAGTGGTTAGGAGTAATGGTAGAAGGTTTATTCCAGAACTTGGCTCGGCCATAAACGCTTCCACCTTGCAATTTCCTCGTCGTTGTAAAGCTTTCGGACTCCTCCATAGAAGCCGTCTGCTTCATTGCCTTCTTCTCGATTGTCCTTCCTGTTTATCATCATTTGTCTCCACCGGGATCCAGGAGTGTGCTGACGGAACTCCAGAACTACTATATCTGTAATTAGAGAGTACTTGTTTGTCAGATACTTATATACAGTAGTGGTAAAATAGAAGTAGAATCCTAGCCCCGGAAAAAAAATACTATGCAAACTCCGCTTCCTTCGGATAGCCTAAGGGTCACAAGTGATTAGAAGAAACAAAAGAATGCGTGAAACAGATGGTTTACATATGTGAAAAATGAATTCAGCAAGACTAGCACGTAGGTTTTCCTTTTCATTTTTAGTCAAGCGTCACTTCTTTCGTTTATAAAACAATGATCAAAATGCAAGGGATGGGAAAACCGCTATTTGCTAAGAACAAACAATTATGTTGAGGATGGAAATAAAACATATTCGACACCAAAACATAGATAAGACATCAGATTTGGTCATGACAAACAACCGTAGCAGGGACACATTCCTCAAACGTAAGAAACACAGAAGGGTGTTTCAGCGTCAAGTTATCTTTATGTCTAGGTTTAGAGTTTTCCGCTGTCTAAATTAATGCAGGACATGGATTCCCATGCTGAAACTGCTTGAATGTCCAACTATTCAGGGGAAGAGATATCCTATACTCCATAGATTTCTATATGAAGACTTTAGTACCGGAGAAAGTTGAGGTTCCACCATAAAACCAATTGGCAATATGGTGAGTAGACCAACCTCTTACACATGCAAGGTCCCTTCTGTCATCAATATGACATTCATTCTCAACAAGTACGGCATCTCATGCATGATATTTATCGACTGACATAGGAAGGAAGTCTGTCTTTTGTAACAGAAAAAAAAAAAAAAAAAAACAAAAAAGCGAGAAAGAAGTATGTATCTCCCAGTAATGAAAAAAACAAAGAAAGCGGAATTGCAGAAACTGAAATGTTGTTCTCACCATTGTAGTGACAACGGCAGTGATTCACATTCCCATTGCACAACTCTAAGTGACCAATGACACCATACCACCAACCTAAAATACATAAGAATCCAAATTATTGCCAAATTCCTTCCAAAAGTAATGGAAAATATAGAGACATTTGAAGGTGGGATTTACAAACACACCATAAGGAAATTCATTGTTTCTTCTCCACTGGATCTCAATATGATCACCGGGTTTTAAGTCATGTAAACAATCAGAAACATGAAGTTTGTAAGGAGGAGTATCAACTGGAGCCGCTCTTAGTCTATCCCATGGTATATTTTCCTCTACTACCCTCCGCCCATAAGGTGAATACCTGCAATGTACATTTTTGAATTCAAGAGAGGACCGTTCAGAAATAAGCCTTTCCAGAATCGAACTTTATATATGAATACGCGCATATAAAGCAGACTGCTACTCTACCTTGCTTGAAATGTGTTTGTCCGCGAATCATAGCGCAGTTGTGCATCATAACAAGACAGCAGAAACCCTAGATTACCATGCTGCAGTAAAAGACACACACACACATACACACACACACACACACATATATATATATATATATATGTATATATATATATATATATAAGGTGTTCATTGAATTGTCAAGCAAGAAAACAACAAACAAACAAAAAAATTGTACAGACTATAAATTAGCAGAGATATACTACTGATAATATTTGCGGCAATACCTCGCGGTTGTAGACCTGAGCCGGGAACCAGAACTTGCCACTTTCAAGAGAGAGATACAGAGACATGATCGAATGGACGGGTAAACTATGACTACTACCCTTCACTTTACAATTACACACACAAGTTACTGATTGTGGCAGAGTAGTCCATGTGGAAGGCAAAATGATAGCCGCAAGGGACTCCATTAAACCTTTTTTCCTGGTCTTAAGACAGTAATGTCTGGTTCTATTTCTTGAGGCCACATGCAGTTGCCATTGTCTGTAAGCAGCAGGCCCAATAAGTGTACCCCATTTGTGCTTCATATGGTTCTCCCACAAGTGATCACTTTTGCAGCTCTCCCTTAGAGAAGAACAAACTGCTGCCATGGAGAACAACCCAGATGGGGGAAGCTTCTCAAGAATGCAGCCCAAGGCCAAGTCGGGCAAATCCAGGAGAGAGAGACTAGTTTCTCTCTCCTCTCTCTGCCCCTCCACATTTGAACCAGAAGTCACCATCTTTTTTAATTTGGAGGTGATGGGTTGGAGTGAAATCCAGTTTTTCTGGAGAAAACTTGAAGATCCACTCCAAAACTTGAGTGAGATTAATCTGAGGTTATTCTCCCATGTCTGTAACATTGGTTTGTGGTGAGTGAAGGACTTGGAAAGGAGGATGAAAGAGACAAAAGAAATAAGGAGGTAAAGCATTGGATGGAGTGAGCGAGTGAAACTTCAAATTTTTAAGTGATTGATTGGAGTTTGGCAAGCCTTGAGTGAATGCAAATATATAATGTATGAGATGAGAGGAGAGAGGGGGAAAATGAAAGCTATTAATTTACTTTGTTTTTCATTTTATTTGACAAAGAAAGATGAACCAATGGCAGTTTAAATATTGAGAATGTAGTAGGAGAAATGCTAAGTAGACTCTCAAAATGGTACTCTTCATTGACTCTATGTCACCTCACATTTTAACGTCAATTAATGTGTCAATATTATAAAATCTTGTGTAAAAAACATGAGGTTGCAAAGAGTCCACGGAAGTAGATAGATCTATCAAGGACCAGCTCTTCAATCTTCAGAAAATCCCATATGCAAATTTCTCAGTGTTAACAATAACATGTTATAGAGAGAGAGAGAGAGAGAGGTCATAATCTTTGAAATTAGGTGAATTAACACAAAGCCTAACAATGATAATGGTAGGTGTAGGTACAACTAGATACGAATTAGGTGAATTAACACCAAGCTTACCCTTCAAACTGGCAACTAATAAACAAGAGACATATCAAAGTTTGTACCAAAAGATTTGATTATTCATCAACATGCGATCGTTCCACACTCTTATTTTCTTTTGTACATCTCTGTTTGCTTCTCTCTTTAAATTCTCATTTATTTATTCTATCTAAAAGCCACAAATAAGTAAGGGCAGACAAAAAAAAGGGTATGCATAAATCACTTGAAATCCCTTCAAGAAGTAAATAAATCTTACTCAAGCATTGTACGAACCTCCCTCGAGTGATAGAAGTTATATGTATAAAAAAAATTAGGAATAAAAGGACTATTAAGTCTTAGAAAAATGTCCAAATTAACTACTTTTCGACCAAATGGTATATTGTCTTGATGGTTAATTCGGACTTTTTTTTTTTAAGTTATTGGGCTCAAATATTTACTCATTCTTTAATGTAGATTAGTTTAAAATATCGCTTGTAATATTATTAGTTTTCGAAATTTAGCATTGGGGTTAAAACTTGAAAGCAATTTGGTGGCACTTTTTGGTGGGTGTCAAAGTGAATGTCACAAGACAAAACAATATGAAGCTCCCGATCCCCAACACCACCAGATCATCTGCCTAACTCCCGCCCAACTCCAACACCTCCGGACCACAATAACCATGCACGCAGCATAAATTTTGCCGAAATCCTCCCTCTTCCCCCCAAAATAAAGAAAGGGGACGTGACGTTTTATGACTTTGTTAAATTCTTATTTGTGAATATATAATTCACCATATAGATATAAATGCATGGGATTATCAGCTATGCCTTGTCCTTCTTGTTGGCTCTGATGCTTCCAATATATCTCTCTCTCTTCTCTCTCTCCTCTCTCCTCTCTCCTTTCCTTATATTCATGCCATGACTACAATGGAAGAGGATTTTTTTCCGGATTATCTTTGTGAAAATTCTAAGAATTAATTCATTTTGGCTGTTCATAGTATATCGTGAAGTCAGATTTTGTTAGGTACTATTTATGGTCAATTTTAAATAAAAAATTAAAAATGATTTATGAGCACAGAAAAACTGATGAACAGATCCCTACAATCCTCAAAAGAGAATCCAAACAAGATCCTATTACAGATACAACTACACTTCCCCCTCTTTTTCTCCATTTATTTTGTATGTATTGATAAAGACAATATTGATACCCTATGATGTTTACTATAGGTAACTTAAGATACATCATTTATGCTCAAATTCCTAACGTCATACGTTTTCTAAGGTACAAGTCCCTTTTGACTTATTCGCTTTAAACGGTCATTTTTATGCCAATTTGCTTCCTATTTTGTCCACTACTTAGAAGGATTATTCTATTATTTTATTTGCAATTGTATCTAGACGTTACGTTACGTCTATCAAAAATTAACTTTGTCACACTGTAATCTTTCAAATAAGCAGGAGCCATGTCTTTTACCAAACAGTTTAACAATTCAAAACTTTTTAATAAAGCAAAAGCTGACCCCAAAACTCAGCTCCATGCTAGCACGAAGTGTTTTTTTATATAAGGGGGAGAAATCTCATATCAATTAGATGTTCTACATATTACTGTTTGACCACTGATTTGTATGCAAAGGAAATATCCGTTGATACGTCTATATTTTAACTTCTACGGAAATATTTGTTTTTAAGTTTTCATAAAAGGTCTGATATTTCTCTTCATTTGTAAGTGAGAGATATTAGATTCAATTCTAGTCAAAGGCGAATTTGAATCATATTATTGCTAGTTTATTGTGAGGCTAAGCTCAACCCCCTCCTCCCCTTTTTAGTGTAGATAATATATTTTGTTCAAAAAAATAAGTATTTGTTTGGAAGTGCTTTTAAAATGACTGAAAGCGCTTTTGGTGAAAATGTTTTTAGAACCAATCCTTAGTAAAAATGCAAGTAAATTCTGGAAAAGTACTTAAAGTGCTTCCTAGAAGAATCACATAACTGATTCTTCTTGCAGAAAGCACTTTAAGTGCTTTTGGAACCAAAAATCATTTTCTCTAAAAGCGTTTTTAGTCATTTTAAAAGCACATCCAAACAAGTCTGTTGAGTTTTGGTTTCAATATTTGTTGTATATTTCATTATGAAGATTACAAGAGAGTGAAGGCAACTCTTATAGAGAGTCAAAAGAAAGCTACAATAGATTGTAGGATAACTATACAAACACAATCCCTAAAATCTGCCCTAACAAGTGGAAAAGCAAAAACCAAATTACAAGTAAAGAAGCTTTTACAAGCAACTAAGAAAGGTTGATGTAAGGTGAATGACAAGCTATGGAAAGTGATTGGTGAATGACAAGTTATAGTGAGGATGACAACTCATACATACAACTCATCTATACAAACCGGTTCCAATACACCCCCTCAAGCTGGATCAAGGGGATTGATTGATCCAAGCTTGCACAACGAACGCTGAAACTGAGTAGAGTCTAGTGCTTTTGTGAATAAATCAGCAAGTTGATCATGGCTGTGTGTGAACATGGTGTCTATCACCTTGGATTTTACTTGAGCACGAATATAATGGCAGTCAACTTCAATATGTTTGGTCCTTTCATGGAATACTGGATTGGAGGCAATGTGCATGGCAGCTTGGTTATCATAATACAGGGACATAGGTGCCATGCTTGTGAATCCGAGCTCGGAAAGAAGACTTTTCAACCATATGAGTTCACAGGTTGTTACTGCCATAGCCCTATACTCAGCTTCGGCACTAGATCAAGCAATAACAGTTTGTTTCTTGCTCTTCCAAGTGACAAGGTTCCCTCCAACAAATGTGCAAAAACCTGTTGTGGATTTTCGATCAAGGGCATTTCCAGCCCAGTCAGCATCTGTGTAGGCCAAGATGTGATTTGATCCATTGTTCTTCATAATTATCCCCCTTCCTACTGAGCCCTTGAGATATCAAAGTATTCTCTTGACGATTTCCCAGTGAACTAGTGTAGGAGAGTGCATGAACTGATTGGCTAGGTTAACTGAATATGAGATATCATGCTAGTAATGGTGAGATAAATAAGTTTCCCAACCATTCGCTGATAAACACTAGGGTCCAAGAGAGGTTCACCTTTTTCATGCCACTGAAGTTTGCTAGCCAGGGGTGTCAGAGCTAGTTTACATTCCATCATGTTAGCTTCATCTAGAAGATTGAGAACATACTTTCTTTGATTCAAGAACAATTCTTTTGAAGAGGTAGCCACCTCAATTCCAAGAAAGTATTTCAAGGGCCCCAAGTCTTTAATGGCAAATTTTTGGTGAAGTGACTGCTTAAGCGTCTTAATTTCACTTATATTGTCACCTGTAATAATTAGGTCGTCAACATATATAAGCACAACCAATTTGCCAGCAATACTACTTCGAACAAATAAAAAAGAGTCAGCACGACTCCTTTTGAATCATGCAGCTTCAAGGACTGAACTAAGCTTCGAATAGCAAGCTCGAGGGGATTGTTTGAGACCATATATGGCTTTGTGAAGTCTGCAGACCTTGTTGGGTTCATTTTCTCTTGGATTACCAGGAGGCAACTTCATGTACACTTCTTCTTCAAGATCCCCATGAAGAAATGCATTCTTCACATCTATTTGGAATAAGGCCCATGCATTATTGACTGCCACAGACAACAATACCCTCACTGTGTTTATTTTGGCAACATGAGCAAAGGTCTCCTTATAGTCAATGCCATAGGTTTGAGTAAAGCCTTAAGCTACTAACCGTGCTTTGTGTCTTTCAATGCTTCGATTGGAGTTGAATTTGGTCTTATATATTCACTTACTTCCCACGACCCTCTTGCCATTTGGAAGATCCACCACACTCTATGTCTGGTTGTCATTCAGAGCTTGAAGCTCTTTAGTCATAGCATCTTGCCACTCAGGCATGCATGTGGCTTTATGAAAATTCCTTGGTTCGAAAGTGTGGGATACTTTGTTAAGGAAAGGAGTATGAGAATATGAGAATCTGTGATAAGAAATGGCTGCAGAGATAGGATGCCTTGCAGTGTAAGTAACATACTCTCATAACATCACTGGTGGATGTCTATCTCGTGTAGGATTTCTTCTTAGTTCACTTATAGCTTGCTGATTTGGTTGAGCTTCTGATGGTCTAGAGGAGCTTGGCACTACATCAATTACACTCTCAGTAAGTTAAGAATTATCAGTGTTGATATGAGCATGAGTGACTTCATGAATTTCTGCTGGAATAGGTAGTGGAAATAGGTCCATAAGATCTTCCATATTAGCATTAGTCTCCAACCCTTTGTGGAAATAAGGTGAATATTCATCAAATCGCACATCTCTAGAGACTGCCAGCTTCCCCGTGTTAGGGTTGTACACTTTGTAACCCTTTTGAGAACTGGCGTATCCCATAAACACACATTTGGCAGCTTGAGGGTTGAGTTTGTCATGATGGAGAGCTTGAATGTACACATAACAAGTACAACCAAAGGTCATGAGGTGAGACAAGTTTATAAGTCTACCCTTCATGACTTCAAAAGGATATTTAGTATTCAACACCCGAGTTGGCAGACTATTAATGATGTACGTGGCAGTGAGTAGGGCTTAAGACCAAAATTTCTTAGGAACATTCATTTTG